ATGATAGATTTTTATATTTTAATTTCATAATGATAAGTTTTTATATAATGATATAATATGATAAGTTTAAATTTGTACTTTTTAATTTTATAATAATAGATTATAGACTAAATTTACAATAGTACGATATTTTACCGGTCCGACTAAATATATAGTGAGAAAGATTAGAAAGAAGTATAACTTATAGTTAAAAAATATAAGATATGAAACAATTCATACTAATAATGAAAAAAAAAATCGTTTTCGTTATCGAGGAATAATTTACATCAATTATTTATTACTATAACTCAATATTAGATCTAATTAGATTTATATTTATATTATATTTAATTATTATTGTCATTGAGTTATTCGAGTGTCCTTGATTGCACTCCTTGAGTGTCCGTGATTACGACTTGATTGCACACGATGATTGGATGATTTCAATATTTTCCTAGCACAATTTTACAATTACATGCTCCTGTGCTTAGCCATGTACAATCAAACTAGTCATTCAAACGTCACCTTATTATTCTGGAATATTAGTAAACTTATTTAAGTATTCAAAACCATAATCGTTAGTGATAAAACTACTAAACAATAATAATTTATTACTGACCAACCAGTAATACTTTTCTGTAAAGAAGACACTTTTAGCTTACATGATATCTTATTTTTTTATATAAGGTATCCAAAAATTTCGGACTTGTATTTGTATTTGATGTATTTGTGTTTGATGTATTAGGTGGTAAACTTAGTTCCTGCGGCTCACAGTTAAATGACGTTAGTTGTAGGTGTAATTTATTTTGACATCTAAAACTGGCTGCATTTTAGAGGTTAAACATTTGTCAATAAAATTCAGTGCGAAGAGATTCATTTAAGCGAGCAGTGCTATTTTTTCTTTTGATTAAATATGGAACGTGATAAGTTGTTTTTTCGACATGTGCTGCTTCATTACTTTGACTTGAAAAAAACTGCAGCTGCAGCTCATAAATTGCTTTTCGAAGCTTATGGCAATTATGCTCCATCGGAAAGAACATGTCAAGTATGGTTTCAGCGATTTAAGAGAGGTGATTTTGATGTTAATGATAAAGAACGCTCAAGCCAACCGAAAAAGTTTGAAGACACCGATTTGCAGGCATTATTGGACGAAAACTCTACTCAAACGCTCCAAGAATTGTCTGCAGCATTAAATGTTACTCCGATGGCTGTTTCCAAACGTCTACATGCAATGGGAAAAATTCAAAAGGAGGGAAAATGGGTACCACACGAATTAACCGCAAATGCCATTGCGAATCGCTTAAACATCTCTATTTCTCTGCTCGCCAGGCAGAAAAAGAAGAGTTTTTTGTGGCGCATAGTGACTGGCGATGAAAAATGGATATACTTCGATAATCCTAAACGAAGAAAATCATGGGTAGACCCTGGCCAACCATCGACATCCACACCAAAGAGAAATATTCATGGCCACAAAGCAATGCTTTGCATTTGGTGGGATATGCACGGCGTCGTTTATTATGAGCTACTCAGACCGAACGAAAGTATCACGGGGGATCGATATCAATCACAATTAAACCGTCTGAATGAAGCATTGTTGGAAAAAAGGCCAGCAGTAGCCAGCAATCGACGTAAAGTCATGCTTTTGCACGACAACGCTCGACCACACGTTGCCAAAGCCGTCAAAGAAACACTGATGCAGCTCGAGTGGGAAGTTCTCCCGCACCCAGCGTATTCACCAGACTTAGCTCCTTCGGACTATTACTTGTTCCGATCGATGCAACACGGCTTGGTGGATACACACTTCAGAAATTACGAGGATGTGCGAAAATGGATCGACGAATGGATTGCATCAAAAGACCAATCGTTCTATCGTCGCGGAATCTACGCGTTGCCCGAAAGATGGGAAAAATGTATAGCTAGCGAAGGAAAATACTTCGATTAATGTATTTTTTGCTTTTGATGCCGAAATAAATGAGTTTTTTAAACAAAAAAACCGCAGGAACTAAGTTTACCACCTAATACAGCCGCAATATACAGGTAGAATGGATCAAAATAACTAGAAGAGTTAGGTATCATATTGTAACTATCGCTATAGTTATTCAATAATTAATTGAACTGTATGAATGAATAACCGCACGAGAAATGATACGACGGACTCTATAGTCATATCTATTGAAAGAAAACTTTCGATCTGTAAGAGAACTAGTTTACTTTTTACGATTTATCGTTTAGTATTTATCGTTTAGTATCGGTGAATAACAGCTGATTCCGAAATATATGCTATTTTTGACTTACGATCCTGTGTTGCATGTCGCTCACTGTTCACATTTACTCTGTGTCTCGCTAACAATTAATATTCACTGTTGCTAGAAGATTCAAGAAAGTAAGACATCTTTCATTAGACATGTTCACCTGTGATACTGCTTCACATGTGCTTATTTGCTTATGTGGTTTAATTAATTTTTCAATATTCAATTATTACTATTAAATTTATAAAACAGTACATAAATTCCTGTTCAGTTTGATTCTATCTACACAACAGTTATATTCGGAATTTTCAGACATTTTGTATAAAACTTTTTTCGTCAAGTTAATAGATTTTTAACAAAAAGAAAAGAAACAGTGATGTTATTGTGATTATATAAATGGAGTATTCTTTTCCAAAGTTACACCCATGCTGTCCATTTTTTATTTGATTTAAAATTTTCAAAAAAATCTTAAAATCTACAGGAAAATGCAAGCTTTCTAATGATGTGTGGCAAAATTACCGAATTCAATCAGATCATTCTCAAAATTTGGGAAGACCTAAAAAAAATAATAATGAAAATAATTTTCCAAGTGTAGCGATGAATCATTCGACTTTTTTCTCTTCCAATCAACACGTGATATAGTACTCTATTCATCTGCATCTTGTCATGTGAGTGTAATCTAACGGATAAGAGCTGATTGGTAGTGTAAGATATCTTGGAGAACGATTTTGAGAGTCAAACATTAATTTTATGGGTTTACTGGGTTAAAAAATTTTTCCACAATGAGATGCGACTGAATTGACGCAATAGTGATATCGTACGAATTTTTGCATTCTACCTTTACGAAAATACGCCTAGGGGTTGAAATGGGGCGATGAAACTTCGATATTCGTGGAGAGAACCCTTGACAACCCCGATATCAATTTTTTCTTCCAATGAAACGCTGCAGTCGTGATTTCACCCGAACTCACACCCTTAACCTTTAAAAAAACGCTTAAGGGTTGAAATAGGGCTATGGATCTTTGATATTCGTGGAGAGCACTTGAATCACATTATTCATTTCATTGTGATTGTATGGCTCTTACTCTCTCATGTTTTACGTCGAATAATGATTACTCATCTTTTCGAAACCTCGATATAAAAAGACGATGCATCACAATCTTTAAAATATCTCTTAATCACCATTTCTTCTCTGTTAATTGGTACGAAACAGTTATTTCTCAGAATCTCTGGAACTGATGGAACAGCATGAAATCTTTTAAAACATCTCTTCGTCTTTTGGTGCTCTTTGTCATCATAAGACAGTATTTGAATGCTTTTGGAATTCTTCTGACTTCAGTCAATAAGTTTCTCGAACGAAAGGATATCATCGTTCGGTTTACAGAAGAGGCTAGCTTGTACAGCTTCTCTCTTGAATACAGCACCTATACCATCTGAAGCACCTTTACCATGTGCAGTAGTTAGCCTTCTTTGTAAACCGAACGATGCCATTCTTTCGTTCGAGAAACTTTGACTGGAGTCAGAAGAATTCTAAAAGTATTCAAATATTGTCTTATGATGATACTCAAAGAGCACCAAAAGACGAAAAGATTTCTGAAAAGAAGATTTGGTGCTGCTCCACCAGTTCCAGAGATTCTGAGAAATCACTGTTTCGTACTAATTAACAAAGAAGAAATGGTGATTAAAAGATATTCCAAAGATTGTAATACATCAACTTTTTCATATCGAGGCTTCAAAAAGATGAGCAATCATTATTCAACGTAAGACATAAGAAGGTAAGAGCCATACAATCACAATGAATAATGTGATTCAAGTGCTCTTCACGAATATCAAAGATCCATAGCCCTATTTCAACCCCTAAGCGTATTTTTTAAGGGTTGGGGATGTGAGTTCGGGTGAAATCACGATCGCAGCGTTTCATTGGAAGAAAAAATTGATATCGGGGTTGTCAAGGGTTCTTTCCATGAATATCGAAGTTCCATCGCCCCACTTCAACCCCTAAGTATATTTTCGTGAGGGTAGGGTGCGAAGATTCGAACGATATCACTATCACGTCAATTCAGTCGCGTCTCATTGTGAAAAAATTTTTTAATCCGGCAAATCTTCATAAAATTGATTTTTGACTCTCAAAATCGTTCTCCAAGATATCTTACACTACCAATCAGCTCTTATCTGTTAGATTAAATTCACATGACAAGACACAGATGAATAGAGTACTATTACGTATTGATTGGAAGAGAAAAAAGTCGAATGATTCATCGCTACACTTGGAAAATTATCGTTTTCATCATTTTTCTTCGGTTATCCCAAATTTTGAGGATGATCTGATTGAATTCGGTAATTTTGCTACGCACCATTCGAAAGCTTACATTTTTCTGTAGATTTTAAGATTTTTTTGAAAATTTTTAGATCAAATGAAGAATGAGCAGCATGGGTGTAACGTTGGGAAAAAATGCCCCAAATATAAATATCAAATGATGGGCACTTCCTTCTTGCAGAGTGAGATAACTAAAAACAATAATCTTATAAGAAAGATAAGCTCTGAACATATTTGAGAGAAATATTTATTTTATTATATATTACTAACTATTATTAACATCTACTGGCGATTCTGTATTTTTACTTACCGTCCGAGTCCATTTATGAATGATCCACTTGCAATCGAATGCTTTAACATCCTTTTAATGGACCATGTAATACGAACGAACAACATTTTTGCGCGTACACATTTACCATTGTCTACCAACTACGCAAGCGAACACACTACTCTACCTGGGATACTGTTATTAGACGGGGTAGACTCTAACAACTGACCCAGTCCGAATCTCGAGCTCTTCCTTTTCAAGATGGGCGCAGAATATTGCCGACTGTACACCTTTTCCTTCTCTGCGTAAAAGATGTGGAAAACGAAAAATAATAACACATAGTGTACGAGGAATAACTGATGTGCGCAAAAAGACAATAAAGGAATAAATATAAAGATATCATACCTTGCTTGGTGTCTTGTCGAGGTAACATCGATGCTGGCGCGGACATTGTACGCTTATAAGGCCACTTCGTGCCGAAACTTGCACTTAATGTTTTTACAGAGCTTGTGCCGCTACCATCAGATTGAGATAGTGCTTCATGCGCACGATGTAGTTTCTTTAAGAATACTTCGCTATTCAGATCCGTATTCTTCAAATCTACAATGTAAGAATCTATTTAATAATAATGTCAAGTAAATATATATAATACAAAGTTAGTGCAACAGAATGATACATGCTGTAAGTGTGTGACTGACCACGCAAGTAAGATATATCTCCCGACTTCTCCAAATTGATCTGGGCTTCAAGGAATAGAGCGTCGAATCGATTTAAGAAAAATTCCCATGTCAAAATGCGTCGATCGCTAAGACTGTTGTGAAGCTGGTAAAGCGATTGCAATACCATAGGGCGATCCACGATAACAGAATCAAATTGTGTCTCCAGACATAAGATTAACGACTGATAGAAAAATAATTATATAAACTGTGATAATTGTTCACATAACCAAAGCTATTTTCGATTCTTATCCCTAAAAAACTTAATCTAACTTAATGTATCACTGTGACATTAACATTATCAAAATATATGCATTTTTTTATACGTTAAGAAGATATCGGAATGTCTTCAGAGTCGTATTGCGTAGTTAAAAAATATACATTTATCGTACACATAGTAGTTCATATTAATCAAATATTAAGTTGAAGGCATTAGCGATGTTTTGATTAACTTTATCTTAACTCCTAGCTAGCACACTAGGGTATTAAAAGCCCTAGTTCAATTTAGCTTGATTCGGCTTCAATTTACTCCCCCTTATAGTACGAAAATGGTGCTTGTGCCATCATCTATTGTTTGTCCAAGGAACCCTCTTTCTCCTGGATTACCTAGCGTAATTCTAAAAGTCAGTTTAGTTGTGGTATTCAAGTGAAACGGAGTGATGCCATCAGAGACCCCAGTGTGCCAGCTATAATTATTCGAAGAATTCCTTTCTGAATTTTTTTCCCATTGGTGTTTGTCATTAAGGCGTAAAAAAAGGTAAGTACATAATGTTATACGGCATTTAATTTTTTTTTCAAAAGTGTATTATATTATTCTGGTTTTATTAGATGGCGTATCAGTTACGACTTCGGCCCATACGCCTGCAGCTATTCGAGGAAGATCGTAAGGATAATTTTTGTACATTAATCAAATAAAATTCACTCATATCTAATAAATAAACAAATATACTTTGAAAAAATAAGTATATTTTGAAAAAAATAAGTAATATTTTTTGGCTGAAATTCGTCTTTTCAACTCTCCAAATAAATACTTTTTTTGAAACGGCCACTATCAAACCATTTTTTCTCTTAAAGTGTTATATCTCAATAGTGTCAAGTTAAATTTTTAGCTCTTAATATGAAAAAATGGAAGTTATGAATTTTTTAGTAAAAATAGTCATTTTTTCGTTTTTTTTACGTTTTCGAATTTTTTTTTTATGCTCAATATTATATTTTATCAAAATAATTTATGACATCTTTTAAGCCAATATTTGAAAATTATTTTGGAATTTTTGGTAAATGTTCACTTTGGAGGTGTCACCTCCCACGACCTTGATCTTAACACATATTATAGACCACTGTCCTGAGTAATCTTCAGAAGGTTTCCTGATAGAAATTTCACGCAGTTTGTAAATAGTTACTGAATAGTTATATTAACGTTTGCCCAGTAACTGACGAATAAAACTGTTGGGATCCCAATTAGGATGTAACGTTTTGTCTGCAGTTACTGTGCACAAAAAATGCGCAATATCTGAACTCATTTATTGACCGAGAACTGAGCAATAATCGGACAAAGAAACTATTCAGTCGATTAATAAGCAAGTTTATTGCTCATAAAATAGAGTTTTGTGCTAGTAATAATGGATATTGTGTGCATGCTTGCTTATTGTACAATTTTAATTTTTAATAAAAGTCAGTACAGTCGTAAACATAAAGAATGTCTGATTTTTTGTAATAAGTTTCAGAATATAACCGAATAGTCCAATATAAGAAACGTATTTCTTAGGTACTATTCTCTCATTGGATAATTTTTAGGTTACGTTGTCAACAAAAAGTCGGACAACCTTTATGTCCATAATTATATAAGAAATCTAGGATGCTTTTTACGATAATCTAATATATTTTTGTCGCAATGCAATTCTGTATCATTAATACCATAGCCCATTTGTTGTTTGCTCACTTTCAACTCTAATCTTACTTATCACTTCTACTATAGCGTGTTGTTTTGTTAAATCCCAAATTTCCTCCAACTTCCTCTTTCTTGCTGTATGTTTTGCTATGCGTTCACTTATTCTTTAAATAGTTTTAAGATCGTCTCTATATAATATAATTTTTATCATGCACATGTGTATGCGATATAAAACTTAATAAAACTATGTTCAGTTCCTTCCCAGTTTTTGCGCAGTTTCGATACAACTATGAAATACAGTAATACTAGATAGTAATTGATTAGGTGTCTAATAAAACTGCATAGATTTCTACTAGGGTTTTAACCGTCGCTCGTTGTTTGTTAAAAGGTTATTAACAAAAGTTAAAAGGTTATTAATAAAGAAAGTTTTATAAACGGAACGTAATTTTGGTATACAATATACATTGAAATAAGGTAAACAATACATGTATATGCGCGAGGGAGGAGCTCCGCTCGTCCCTCCGCTTCCCTTTCCCAAAAAACCTAACCTTAACCTAACCCATTTGTTGAAATATAATAAAACGTATACATGCACGATTTAAATATACAGGATAAATAAATTATATTGAAAAAATTATTAATTTGATATTTATAATAAATTTATTCAGTATTATTTTCGTTAAGTGGACAGAAATGAGCCATAATTTAAAAAAATTTATTGATTCAATCTTCATAATTATATTTTCATTTGAACAAAAATTCAGTTAAATAATGGGCCTAATGATTTTCATTCGTACCAAAGCGAGGTGTTCCATTGCATATATCACACCATAATCTTTCGATGTTTTGAGTATAAACTCCACTAAACGGATCGACAAAATTGCGAAAATGGTTTAAAGTTTGATGTAAATAATTTTCTATAGATAAAACATCGTAGACATCCCAAGAATCGCTATATATTATATTTCCCGATGCAATATAACGATGAATTATTGGTATTAACGTAGCTGCTGTTCTATCTGGTACTGATGCCACAAATAAACGAACGAGAGACGGAGTCCCTCCCTCGCGCATATACGTGTACTGTTTACCATATTTCCATGTACACTGTATGCAAAATTACATTCAACTTCTAAAACTTCTTTTGTTAATAACTTTTTAACAAACAACGAGCAACAGCTAAAACCTTCTGAAGGTTACTCAGGAGGGTGACTTCTATAATATATCTCTAGGTCAAAGTCACTGGAGGTGACTCCTCTAAAGTAAACATTTACCGAATTTTTTCAAGTGAGAAAAATCAATAGCTTCTACGCAGCAAACATTTTAGTGGTTGGAGTCTTAAATGGCTTAGTATGCCAGCTATGTGAATTGTGATGAAGTGTGCCAGCTAAGGGTTAATATATGTATACACACGTTGAATTTATGTTAACCCTGCGGCGGACGCGCCTTTAGCAGACTTCTTTTTTGTTACATTCTTCTTATATTAACTGGCAGTAGTTCTTCTTTTTCTTTAATAATTGTTGAAACATAACATTGGCTATCTCCCTCGTGCTGCCACCTTACTGTGGTGAAAGGGTTCCCGCTTGATCCGAGGAAGGCGTAGCGACAGTACCCTCCGGCTTTGGTCGGAAAAGAGGTTCCTGTCTGAGAATCGTTGGCGAATGGTAGTTCAGAAGAAGGAAACCCTTACAGAAAACCGAGCCGCGGTAGGCTGCAGCACCGCGGTTGCGATAGGAGAACCTGATTCGCCCGTCGGAGAATCCGGCGCGCGATGAGAGCCCCCCACTGTAGGGGATGGCCAGATCCCTTAGCCACGTAGTGGCACCTGCCTCCTGGGTGGGCAGCTGCGCCCGAGAATATTAGGAGCTGAGTATCGCGCCCGAATCGTCCATTGGGCAACCGGGAAAGTGACCCGCCCCACAACGAAAGAGGAGGTGCCTGGGG